ATCCGTTATCCCTTGGTAGTTTTTAAGTGGTTCTCTGACTAGAGTTAATTCATGAGTAAAATTCATTTTGTCAAATAATTTTGGGTGTACACTATCCAATATCATCAAATCAGTGTGCGCCATGATGGCAAGCTACCTAAAATGTTGGCCACACTGCAAAACCTCAAACTGACTGTTAGAATTCCGTCTGCACTAAACAAAGGACTAGACAAATCACAATAGTTAATAGTGTCTAAACAAAGTAAAAATTATCTTCGCGCGAAATCCAGATCTTCTAGTGTTTTGTTATTGGTCACTTCTACGTATTCCTGTTTTCACCCTCTCGATACGCAGTCTGATGCGCATAATCCAGTCCGCCACAATTAAACATATCATCGGTAATAATAGGCAGTTAGATTGCCTTACTCCTGTATTCATTCCAATCACTTCACTGATTTTGCCGTAGTGGACCGCCTGACACACGCCAAAGTCATATAGCCAGCAGTTGAATAAGGTCGATAAAGACTTGAATCCTGCACGCCGTATTGTTAAAGTAATTTTCAAAGTCAATGTAGTCAAGGTGTAGGTTTGACTGGCATACTATACTTTGTTTGATGACGATGTGTAGAGCTGCAATTCGATCAGCATATGATTTACCTTTCCTGAATCCAGCTAGTTCTGGTGGACGGAGTTCTGCATCTCAATAAACCAAGTAACATTACAATTGGTGGATGGTGGCTAGCAGTGGAATCCAGGATGCGCATTTCGTCCTATTTGGGACTCGTCTGCCAGCTGGATGTACCTGCATTTCTCAGTGAGTGATGATGTTCCCACCGAGGCTCGAACCCAGTACCCATAGTTTCAAACGCCAAAGCGTTATCTACTAGACCACTTGGGCCACGAGAGCCAGCCACCTCTTGTGCAACGGGTCATATATTAATTATTGAATTGAATTTTTGAAGCATCTGCACAAGAAGCCGACATGTCAACCTGAGACCGAGCACTTCGGTCCAATCAATCGACGGGAAAATCAAAAAAATTCAATTCAACAAGTAACATTACGTTAATGTCAAGGTATTATTATAGAAGCATCCGTACTAGGAGGCCAACATGTCAATACAGAAATCCTGCATTTCTCTCCATCAGAAATACAAATACTATATGCATTCCGATTTATTTAATGGAGAACTGTGTGTGTTATGAATTCTCTTGATATACTTATTATATGAAGGCTATGAGCTGCAAAATGTCTAACTGTCGAAAAAAAAGGCTGACACTACTTTTTCTTTACTTCTCCAACGATAATTAATGCAGATTCACATACTGAAGACTGAAATCATTTAGTTTGTTCTTTTTCTTTACATGAAAGGAATATCTTGTTTAAGAACTGATAAGAGAATTAGTGATGTGGCAAGATGACCGATATGGAGTCAGGTTTCTTCAAGATTTCAAATACTCCCTGTTGACAAGTAACATCAACAAGCTGGCTCCTATCCGAGTATTTTTATTAAACATCCAGAAAACATTAAGTCTAATTCAATTTGAACTTTCGCGTTGATTGATGGACGCTAGTACTCAGCCTGGAATTGATGTGTCGATTCCTCCTTGTACAGAAGAGCGTCGACCATGTCTGATTATTTTTTTCTTAACATGAAGTAAATTGGTGGAAACTATGGGTGGGTACTGGCACGAGCCTCAGGGTGGACACCACTACTGACTCACTGGGAAATGCAGGTACATCGACTAGCTGATGAGTCCCAGATAGGCCGAAATACACATCCTCCTTATTTCACTGCTAGTTACTATCCGTCAATTTACTTCAAACATTAAGCTTTTTTGACTTCCTGTTGTCTAAGATGTTCAGTCTTTGTTGGCATGCCAGCCCCTACCTAGTTATGTGCCATAGCGTTACTTTGAGATTTATGTGGTGTTATATGATTAAGACGTGACTAATAATGAAATCTAAGACTCACGAACTTGTCATCCGGGTTTACTTAGTAATGCATAACAGCTGATACCCTGTTGTACAAGACGTAACTCCCACGACTACTCAACAAGTGAGAGAGAGAGTGACAACGCCTTGACATTTATAAAACGGTCAGGGTTAAAAATAATAATAATAGTATCTTTATTCTGAACAGCGTTTATAAAATGAACAAAATTTCAAGAAGAGTTTATGGCATCGACTTTGAAAAGGCCTTCGACAGTGTCGATCGAGAGGTGATATGGAAACTACTTCGCTACTTCCCAGGGGTGCCATCGACAATTATACATCTCATCCGACAGTTAGTTGTACGAAAATACTGCATGACAAGTAATCCACAACGGGAAATTTACGGAGGCCTTCGAAGTGAGGACGGGAGTGAGGCAAGGCTGGCCGTCTACTATAGCCAATGATCTTCCTGATTGCAGTAGATTGGATAATGCGACAGACCAGTGGCGGGCAATGAGGAAACAGGCATAAAATATACTCACACAAAACGAGACTTGGAGGATATGGACTTCGCCCGTGATGATATATGTCTGATTTCCCACAAACTGAAAGATATCCAAGCGAAAAGCAACACGTTGGCGATAGAAGAAGCATCCAGAGAAGATAGGACTTCAGGTGAACATAGAGAAAACAGAGGTAGTTGATGAATATTCCCGGCCAACACCAACAGCCACAGCAGCAACAACAACAACCGACAACAATCAGCCTGCATAAATGGGAGGAATCTGAAAGAAACAACCTCCTTCACCCACCTAACTACCTGGGAAGCATCGTTTCCACTACAGGCTGACGGAATTGAAGTGTATATCAAAGCCAGAATCGAAAAAGCAAGACAAGCTTTCATTACTCTCATCAAGTCTGTGTGGAGGTCAACAGCACTCAGAGTCTAAATGAAAATAAGATCCGGATTTTCGACTCCAATGTGAAGTCAGTCAGTGCTACCTACCATACGGATGGATCAGAGACTTGGTCAGCGTGTCATAAAGAGCATCTCAAACAAACTACAGACCTTCATTAACAGCTATCTTCGCTCAATACCACTCAAGATCAGATGGCCAGCCAGAAAAATCAGCTACACTGAGGGATCTCTGGCAATGAGCGAACCAACACAACAGGAACTGACTGAGAAACAAATAGGCAGGAATAAATGGAGGTGGATTGGCTGGCCATACTCTGAGAAGCCAAAGCATCAAGTGACATCACTAGACAAGCCATTGGTCGAGTGGAACCTGGCCGAAAGGGAAGCGGGCGGCAAGTTGGTTGTCCGTGTGAGGGTGGTGTGACTTGGTGGAGGTGATGTGAAGAGGAGACGAAAGCATGTGGTCAAACTTGAAGCGGGGTGAAAACGTTGGTAGAAAACCGAAGGCAATGGAGAAGTGCATCTGAAGCCCTATGTTCCTCTAGGAATTAAAGGATATAATAATAATACATCATCTACTGACACGCTTATTTCTTTATTTAAGCTTTCAAGTTCCAGTGTTGGTGGTATTTGTGTTTGCTAAATGATGTTCTGGGAGTTACACGTGAAAACTTTCTTCATTTCGAAACTTACTACTTAATAGCTAGTAGTAAATTAGATTGGGTTTCAGAGTTTGTCGACCCTTGAACCACTAAAGTGCTGCATGCATGAGCAAGTAAATATTGATTTAGAAGTGTGCATTTATTTCAGGGATCTAACTCAATTCAATTTCGGTCTCGAACTGACCTCAATTAGTTAACCGTCAACTCTTTTGTCTTGGTTATCACACTAGGGATAGGAACTCAGGACCATCAGGTTATCAGGCGAACTTACCACTTACCACTCAGCCACTCTGACAGATGGAATCTAGTGGCCCGTCAATTATAACTTCAGTGAATTTCCGTTACATTGTGACAGCTAGTCGACAGCTAGTCTAGGAATTAAAGGATATAATGATAATAATAATTATGGCTTGATATTTTCTCTTCGTCCCGGATCTTCAATTCACTGTAAGAATAATCGACAGTAGATTGTGTCAAACAGTTTCATATTACTTGAAGCTCAAACGAATCGACGATGATATTTCCTCGTTTTTCTCTTATTTCAGAAATGCACAATTATAAATTTCAAGAAGAAACATTTCAACACCACCCAAGAACATAAATTCAGAAACATTTATTTCATGTGCGTCAGTGACACAGTGGTAGAATGCTCGCTAACTACATGGATGGCTCAGCGTTCGATCCACGGCCAACGTACTCCCCTACCTTGTTAAGCCAGTATCAAGACTGGTAAAGATGGAATACTGTGCATGAGGATCGCAACCTCCTATTGTAAAAAATAAATATCACTTCTGCTTCAAAGCTCTAGCTTGAAGCCTTATGTTCCACTGTGCACGTGAAGAAATATAAAAATAAAGTTCTTTCAGGTGTTAACACTGAGACGATAAGGCTTCTACTGAAGTTTAGTGGGAGTTTGCAGATCAGCCGACTGCAGACATTCATTGGATGCTAATAACTAATGCGATTTGTCTAGTCCTATGTTTGGTGCAGACTGAATTCTATCAGTCAGTCAGGTTTGCAATGTGGTCATCATTCTAGGTAGTTTGCCATCCCGGTGAACTTTGAATTGTTGGTGTTAGATGGTTGGAGGCAATCGGCCACAGGATGCCCTGCATGACCTAGTTTTCCTACTGGTTGGTTGATACTCCTTAGTTAGCAAGGCGTATCTGCAACCAAGCTGAGATTCCAACACGCATCACCCAGTGCTGCTTGCAGTCAGAGACTTTACCATTGAGCAGACATTCTGAACGCTCACCAGAGGCCATACTTTAACTGATTAAAAGAAACTAAATAAGAGAAATATTATGCAATATAATGAAAAAGGGTTTCGGTGGCCCAGGTATCAGGCAAGCTACCAAGCTCCACTGTAAGAATGCCAACACTCACTGAGGATCCCAATGCTAATCACTGTCAACCCTGTTCATGAATGTGTGACACTAATTTTTTTCAGGAACTCTTTAACAAAAATAATTTTTATTCACAGAAAAAGCAGCGAAAAGATACTTACAAAAATGCACCTTCTGGACTGCCTTCATTCGCCAGGCGTAATTCAGCATCACGTCGTCGGATAGTATGATGATACCAGGGTTGAATTAAGTGTAAATCTTTTACTACCAAAAATCGTAAATGATTACGCATAGGTCCGCTGAGTGCTTCTTCTATACTTTGTCCCTAAATATTGTAAAACACCAAATAAAGAATGCGGTACATCAGAAAAACCAAAAATAAAAAGTTTAAAAAAATTAAATCTTTTATCCTAAAATGTTAATTACCAGGGACATTATGATCAAAATGAGGTCAGATTATGAAATAGCCTGAGTCAGAGATCTGTCTGACCGCTGATTTGTGATTCTTCAAAAATATGCATTTAACAAGATCACCAGGGAACGAAGCTGGAAGGTCTTGAGCTACGATGCTATGAAATCAAATGATACGCGAATTCTTCATTCTATCGATTCATGATATATATGAATGGACTAAATGTTGATTTGCAAGGATTTGATTTCATTCAGCTGTAATCACTAGCTGACGTCAGCGTTAGAAAGCCAGTGAAACCAAGCAAGGAGAACTGGACAACTGGTTGATTCGTTCCTGTTTAAAACTGTTCAGTGGTACGTCTCACAGGGGGTTTGAATCCAGGACCTTTGAGAGAGTTGGTTGATTTAAATGCCACCTAAGCTCCAGGCTCATTGAGAATTCTGACGTCCCTTCTTTATACGCCAGTGCTACAGAAACTTTGAATTCTATATCATTTTCTTTATTTTCACCACTTTTATTGCTAGTTTTATTTTTTTTTCTAGGGTTCTTTGTATATTTCTGAATAAATACTGGTGGGTTATGTGTTACTCACCAGTAGTAGTGTAACAACAGAAGACAAGGGCCAAGCAACAGATAGTTTATTACAGAAATCAGCACGTATTTATATATATTTCATGTACATTATTATAGCTGATTCAAGCAGACAAACACAGTCTTTTGATTGGCTGTTTCTTGCTCAAGGTTATTCTGTACTGCTTGTGACTGGTTTCTCAGAAAGTTAAGCCATATATCTGCGAATCATCGTGTTTGCAAACGTTAAGTCTGCTGTGATTGGTTGTTGAATCAGTCTTGTTCATATTTTCTCACGGCCAATATTAGCGACATAGACATTGACGTAAATTAATGTTAAGCTGTTATCCCGATTATACAGACATTTAACTACATGTATCCTTCTTCACCGATTCTGGATGGTATAAATTAAAGTCTAAATATTTTGCATTAGAGTGTGTGTATCGGTTTTCTGTGCATACTACCTATCTAACCCACACCATCTGGTTTTCGTTTTATTCTACAATCAGTCTAACATGACCAACTTACCCTGTTCATTTTCCTAAACTTATCTAATATGGAATTACATTCCACCATAGTTCCCAAGTTCTATACTTACATTAATGTATACATAAATGCTGTTATACAGCTTAGACAAAAAAATCGAATTCTTCGAAAACAGGCTCTTCTTTGTACTACATGTTTTGTTTTTATTCATATCTAGACTGGATGAAGATTATTCATGGCGCATTTGTTTGTTTGATTGGTTAGTTGGAAGATTTCATCATGAGCTGATATCAGTTGGAGAACAACTGTAAAACCTGGGGATTCCACGCAGCTGTTTCGTCCCAGTTTAGGACTCTTCAGTGTTACGCACCCAACACCAACCTAGGACTTTCTAGTGACAAGGCGAGCTAGCTCGTAGACCATTAAGCCACTGGGACTGGATCATCCCATGACCAACCCCCCATGAACTCTAAAATCTTCTGCGAATTCACGTACGATATAGTGCGAACACTTCAAAATGTCTCCTTCGACAGGCTGCTACTTAACCTTTCCATTATAATCTCAAGTAATTACCTACTTGAATGGGGTCAGTTGCTTGTGGGTGTCAGGAAAAAAACAGCTATCCACCAGCACTCTCTTTCTAAATGACATCAGCACACGATGAAATCTTACAATCAATCCCTGCAAAACCAACACTTGAGCATTTGTTTGTCTTAATTCTTTGAATAAATTCACAAAGATTATTTACTATAGTTTGGTTTGTAAGGGTTAGTTATGTCTTCACGAGTTGATCATGGACTGATATCAGTTAGAGAAGCATTGAAAACCACCACCAAGGAGTACTAGACAGTTGCTGTTTCATTCTAGTTTCGGAATCATCGGCAGTACGAACCCACTGGGATTCGAACCCACGACCTTCCGGTTACAAGGCAAGCTATCTCGTATACCATTCAGCCACTGGGACCCAATTCAATGGCCAGTGGATGAATTCTAACTTCTACCAATTCGTGATTTAGCGCGACCCCAACCATTGTCATTGGTGGAACATCCATCCACACACGTGACATCTAATTGGACCTCACTGGTCACGACTTCTCACTAGAACTCAGGAAACTCCAACCTGTAGCAAGTCACCACCGAGCATTAGATTAATTTTCTATAGTTTGGTTTGTAAGGTTTAGTTATGTTTTCGCAAATTGATCACAGGCTGATATCAGTTAGAGAACCATTGAGGTCATGATAAATCACGAATTGGTAGAAGTTAGAATTCATCCACTGGCCATTGAATTGGGTCCCAGTGGCTGAATGGTATACGAGATAGCTCACCTAGTAACCGGAAGGTCGTGGGTTCGAATCCCAGTGGGTTCGTACTGCCGATGATTCCGAAACTAGAATGAAACAGCAACTGTCTAGTACTCCCTGGTGGTGGTTTTCAATGCTTCTCTAACTCATATCAATTCGTAATCAACTCGTAAAAAGATTATTTAATCATTTAACAAAAAAGAAAAGCAAAACTACTTAGAGAGGAAAGGTTGGACGCACCCTACCCCTACCTCTTCAACCAATATACTCAGATGCACACAGGCACGCGTACAGACGCATCGATACAGATGCGGAAATCCCAGAAATCTTTTCGTTTAATAGGACGTTTAAAGCAATAATATGCTAATTTTGTTATGATATATACAAAGTATGATTATTACAAAGATTATTGTGTACTTGTGCGTATGTGTGAGTGGGTGTAGGTGAGGGTGTCCCTATGAACATCTAAATATATATATGTACACATATATATTACTACATTTTCATTTGAACCGTTTCAGAGAGAGAGAGAGAGTCGCATATACCCTACGCAACACAGTGAAACATTGAATTTCCTACTTGTCTTATGATATTTCGGAAATGGTAATTCATTATCTCTCTTAGTAATGACAATAATATTAATACTAATTACTGTTATTATAACTATTATAGATTATTTTCATAATCTGCCTTATAGTACTTCCGTATTTTTGTATTTATTGATCGATTTGAATGAAATTTTGAACGCGCTGGATTCGTAATTATGAATTTCAACAAAACAATACTAACGTCGTCGAATGTTACAGGTCTGATCACTTGATAACATTGGTTTAAGAACCATTGGTGAAGCAGTAGGAAGGGAGAGTACTGGACAACTTATTGTTTGCCCTTCTGGTTTGGAGTTCTTCAACGACCCGCACATAGCACCAGAGGACATTTATTCGCCGATAACATTGGCTGGTGAAATTTGGAATTGATTGCCTGGCCAGTGGATTCAGTCCCTGTAGAGGAATGGTCTACAATTTCTCCTTATAACCGATAGGTCCTGGGTTCAAAATCCCTGTGATTACGTACTCTTAAAGATTTCCACACCTGAACCAAACAGTTCACTCCCCAATAATCTGTGGTTTCTAATGTTTCCCTAGAAACCAGTCGAATCCCTTTAAAAATTCATTCATTGTAGTATTAATATTAATTTTTCAAAAATGGGTTTGTAGGGATTCTAGTTGTTTCAGTTTAGACCACGGAATGATACTAGTTAGAAAACTGTTGAAACCGGAAAGGGAGTACTGGACAGTGGTTTTGTCCTAATGGGGTCCATCCATTTTGGAGTGTGGATAGGGGTCCCACCAATGAGATTGGTTGGTGCCAGTCGCACTAAATGCATCACGAATTGGTAGAAGTTAGAATTCATGGGCTGACCATTTGATCGAGTTCCAGTAGCTAGTGACTTTGTGTTTTATCCCAGCTGGCCAGTTGAAAACTTGGAATTAGAAAACCTCACTTTACTTTTGACGTTAGAATTGAAGATATTGACACAAAAGACGATAAAACCTCTTCAGGATTTCATCATGATGAGCTGACATCATTTAGAGAACAATTGGAAAACCAACTGGGAGTACTGGACAGCCAGCTGTTGTCCCTCTAGTTTGAGGCTCTTCACCAGTACGCACCCACCCAATTGGGGTTCGAACCCAGAACCTACTGGTTACATGCCAACCTCGTAGAACATGCAGCCACTGGGAACCCATGCAGTGACCAGTCTATGAATTCCAACTTCTGCAAATTCACGCACGATATAGCGCAAGTGATATTAGCCAGTGTCATCGGTGGCGAGTATTTGTCCTCAGACCCGAGCTGCTATACCCTAGTGGTCACGACTTCCCACTGGAACCCTAGGTAACTACCTACCTGATTACGGCCAGTCGCTATTGAACATCAGACTAATACTCAAGTGTTGGTTTGTGGCGATGTGATTTGATTGGTTACTGGATTTCATCATGGTGAGCTGACATTAGTTAGAGAACCATTGAAAAAACAACTTGGGGGAGAAGTACTGGACACCTCATGATGAAATCCAATCCAACCAATCATTTCAATCCGTACAAATCAATACTTGAAAAAGAAAAAAGCTTTGCAAGTAAATCATTCAAGCGTAGAGAGACCAACCAAGCCCTCCCTCCTTCAAAACAAAAGAAAACAGATGTATATAGAAATCTGTCAGTTTATTATAACGCCATCATCTATCTTTAATTAAGAAGAAAAACAGTGAAGAGGAAAATTAATAGACACACAGACAGACAGACAAAGAGACAGACAAGAGAAGAAGCAGATGGAGTGAAATGACAAACAAAGTAATAACCGAACAAAAATTATCGAATTGAATTTTTGATTTTCCCGTCGATTGATTCAATTCAATAATTAATATGACCCGTTGCACAAGAGGTGGCTGGCTCTCGTGGCCCAAGTGGTCTAGTGGATAACGCTTTGGCGTTTGAAACTATGGGCACTGGGTTCGAGCCTCAGTGGGAACATCATCACTCACTGAGAAATGC